GAAAGAACAGTTAAAAAATGGGAACACAAAAGGGAAAAAGACACCTGGGTTCTGCTCTGCCTCACAATGGACGAAGAACAAACACGAATACGACACAAAGCAGAAGGTTTAAGGAATGGATACCAGATTGCGGAGAGCGACGGCGGAGGAAATCTGGGATTCCGGCAAGGGGATGGTCCGGCCGAAGAGTTTAATGGCGAGATCCTTGAAATGTGCGCCGGAGACGACATCTTGAGTAGTGGAAGTCGTCATCAATGGGTGTTAATCGCGTCCCCGAATTCTGATTGTTTTGGTTTTGGTTTGAAGAATCCAAGAGAAGACCCATTCAAATATAGGCGAGGAGAAGAACGAGAAAGAACCCATTTCAAGACCCTCGAAATAAAGAGACACGAACCAACATCCTTTCTCCTCTCTTTCTCGCTCTTTTCTTCTTTTTCTCTCTCTCAAAACAAAGCGAAAAGAAAACCCCTCAGAGCTAAAAGCCTAAAAGCACAAAGAACGTGAGGCATCAAAATTCAAAGCTCCCATTTTTATTTACTTCAATTTCCTTTTCTTTAGATGAAACTCTCTCTCTCTCTTTGCTTTTTCACTTTTGAAAATGTCTTTCTTTTTCTTTTTCTTTTTCTTTTTCTTTTTCTTTTTCCCTTCCCTTTTTTCCTTTTTCACTTTCTTTTTCGCCATTTTTAAAAAGGAAGATTGACAAGTGAATGGGACACTATTTTTGTCTACTAATTTAAGTAATTCAGATTGTCCACACCACTAATTCCTCCAACTACGAAAATTATTAAAAAAAAATCTCATTCATTATAAATTTCTGTTTAGTCTCGTAAAGGATGATAATTGGTGAACCTACTTCGAACTTGAGGATAACTTTCTCCTTTCAATCTCATCCTCATTTTTATTGTTTGGGTTCTAAATATTTTCAATAAATACTGGTTTGTTAATAAAATTTATCACTTTTAATTAATTGTTTTACAATTTTACTCTTTTTTATTTATACTACTAATAAACTTTTTTAAAAAAGAAAACAATTATACAACTTTAAAGTTAATGTGATTTTGTTATAAATATTACTAACAATTTTGTTCTTTCTTTGTATATTTATACTTTTAATAATTTTTCTTATAATAAAAAAATTATTCGACTTTAAAGTTAATGTGATTTTTTTATAAACATTGCAATTTTTTATTTAATTTATCAAAAGTAAAATCCGCCTATCTATTACTATGGCCTGAGTATCCATTATGTCTTTCTAAAGTAGTTTATATAAGCAAGTTTTAAATGTCGATATCGATCAAAATGTCAAGGTCTAAAATATACTAAAATATCGATAAAATGACAATAAAAGATTGACGTCGATAGATATTTCTAGAAAAATCATAAAAATCAAGAAATTTATAAAATATATTTAAAATAACAAATAAGCCCCTCAAACTTTTAAATAAGTTAAAAATCTTTATTATTAATATTATATCCATATTAATGATATTTTATTAACATTGTCCTAGATTTTATCGATTGTTTAACGATATATTAGAAATGTCGATTATGATGTCAAATCTATAAACATATAAAAATGTCAATATTTCAATGAAAATTTAAAATCCTCTTTCTAAGTTTAAAATTTCCTACCCTCCATTTCATATGCAACATGGTTAAAAAAAAAAAAACAGATCTACATTACTCGTGTGATTAATATAATTTTGATACAGTATATATACATATAAGTTCAATGGATGTGTCAAGAATAGCTGTTTCTCATTTACTTGTGTATGACGTATTACCTTTTAAATAAATATATATTTTTTTTAACTAAATAAAGGGTAGTTTACACCTTTTTTATATTGTTTTTTTAAAGTAAGTTTACACTTCTTTTTATTTCTTACATATTATATCATTTAAAAATGTATTTCTAGATGCCAAGAATTTAACTCGTAGGTCAAAAACATACATGTACTTTGAGATTCATTTTAGATACTCTTTTTTAGAAAAAAAATAAAATAAAACAATTGAATTCATAGTAAATTTTTTAGAAAACACGAAATAGAAAATAAATAAATAAATAATATATATATATATATATGGAAAATGAAGAATGAGAATAAAGATGTTTATTTTTTTTTCACATGATGCAATAAAATTGTATTCTAGTTTTTATTTTTGTCCACAATCATCAAGATTCTTATTCTACCATCATTGAGGACATTGAAATTGCTAATTTCATTTTTCTACTTAAACCATCTAAGAATTATATTAGTATTTTAAAAATAATTTTGTATATATATGTAACTATTATAATATACATAATATAATTAAGTTTCTTTAATAGTTATACCATCTTCTTTTAGATAAGGTACAATATCAGGTGACATATTTATACTAATTTATCAATACAGCTTTATTATATTAACATATTATTATTACACTCAATTATTGGTAATATTACATATTAAAAAGTTTCATTGACAATATTGAAGTAGTATTCTAATATTCTAATATTCCAATAAAATATATTAATATTAAATATTGTTATAGTGATTGAAAAAGCGACTAAATAATCCAACGAAGCTAAATAGTCGGACATATAACCCCTTTTTTTAATGTTAGAAGTTCAAATCTCTATACTCTTATATGATGTATTTCAACTATTGTATGTTATAATTTAAGTTTATGAATAAAAAAGCCTCTAAATCATAAGGCTAAATAGTCTACTGTCAATATTTAAAAGGCAAGTTTAAATACAAATGTGGTCTCTATCATTTTACATTCATCCATTTTATTCATATATTTTTAAAACATTAATTTTATTGGTAACTTTGTTTTAATTATTATACTTTAAAAACGTGGATTATAATTGGTATAATTTTTAGAAAGGGAAGTAAAATGAAGGTGGCATAATTGAAATATAATGGGAAAGAAAAGGGGCAAAGGGGTAAGAAAAATGTTGCAAGTTACACGATTGACCAAGGACAAGGTTAGATGACGTAAGCACAAGACAAATCTTAAAAACAAAATAAAATAAAAAAAAGTTTATTAGGGAAAAAAAGAAAGAAAAAAGGATAAAAGAAAAAAGAATAAAAAGAGAGAGAAAAGGAAAGTAAGCGTGTGGGTCCCATTCTGCGTGGATCGCTTTCTACGCCGCCTTTAATGCCTTTTCCGGTGTTTCTAATTTCTATTTTTCTATTTTTTATTTTATAAAAAAACATATATAATTATATTAAATTTTGCCTTGCGTGTAACATGAATTAATTCAAAATATACTTTCCAGTATTTAAATGATTAGGGCATGGTGTGAATATAATGTTTATTTTAACTTTCAAAATAAAAACCAAAAAGTCATATATATGTCTGATGGCTAGTCTAGTTCTTTATTTTTGAAGAAATAGAAAAATAATTATTTACCACTTAGTCTCTAAATTTAAAAGAAAAAAAAATATTTTTGCGGACTAGTATACTTCTATCCAATACTTGTATAAATCAACTTATGTGATTCAAGTACATGCGAATATAACTAACAAGAACTGAATCATGGTATCTCATATTTGAACCTATTGAACCTACAACGCTGGATTTTGGATTCTACCGAATTTAACTAAGAGCACTTTCTTTATTAAAGTAGATATGATTATAAGGAAAAGAATCTTTTTTTTTGCCCATGTGTGAATTGCACCCGGATATGAAGAAGTCCTAAATGCTTTAAATGTCGATTCGATTTGATTCATTCGAATACAAGCCTTAGAGGCCAACGAGCTTCAAACAAAAGCCGGAAATGCAATGAAATCTCATCAATTGAACAACCCGATTACACCAATGTTGAATGTAATGGTACCTCTAAAACTCCTCACGCAAACTGTTCGCAGTTCTACTTAAAATAAAAAGATTATAGTGCAAGTGCACACCCATGGAAGAGTATTCTGAGTATTGATCCTCAAGGACAAAAGGTGTCTTTTCAAAATGATGAAGAGTGAAGGTGATATGAACCAAGATGATTTAGCCTTGCTAGGACCAATCACTCGTTCAAGGGCTAGAAAGTTACAGTTAGTGTTCAATGCTCACATCCAAACAGTAGTGAGCTCCACTAATGGACGTCAAGAGGGTAAAGATGGAAAAAAACTTTATTCATGGTGTTAAATGAAGATATACATGAGAAGAAGATGAAGCCAAATAAAGACAAAAGAAGAAGATGAAGAAACTTTGTATTAACTGTTGGATGTGTTATCCTAAACTCGTAGTTTGTAATTATGTAAAAACAAATTTTATATTCAATAAAGTTATGGTTTCATAATCAATCAATTTGTTGTTGAATTCATAGCATTGCATTATCCAAATCCTATAAACTAAACATCGAACGTTATTATCATGTAATCGGGACAATATATACTGGGTATATATTTAATATACCCTCGATATACAAGTGGATAATGTCTCGAGAATAACCTAAAGGGTCTATAGTATATGGATAAGGCTGGATACCTTATCATGGCAACACTATGGATACGACCCAGTTTGTAAATGTTACAGCCGACCCGATCCAAATCGTTCGTGTGCAAACATGCGAGTGAGGGTATCCTATAGAATGAGTTTGTATAAGATCGGACCGCGAAATATCTAATCTTTAGATATAATGTCCTTGACTAACAGGTTGCTATTTCATAGGATTATCAGACAACTTATTCTCAATCCTGAGTGAGTTATAGACTTCTGCCCGTAAAGGCTCATCCTTTGATCTATATAGGTGAGAGTGGCTCGATCGCTGACTCAACATTCCTACTATTTTAGGGACGGGACCAAGTGGGGGAGCTGAGAACATAACTTCACAAGATGGAATTCACTCATCCCCGACTTTAGGGGAGTAGGTGAGTGTTCTCTTAAATGCTGACTCGGGGACTTGAACAAGGGGCTCCACTCTCTCAGTGGCCCAAGAGGGACTTTCGGTTATTGGTCAGACATAACCGGGTTGTTCATTAAAGGAGTAGTTGTATTTAAGAAGTAAGATGTAATACAGGGGTAAGACGGTAATTTGACCCAGCTTGAGTTACGAGCACTCGTGAAAGATTGACTTGCCATTAATGGTCGTATATTCGTGGACACAAAAATATTATGGGAGTTAGAAGAGTACAGCTGCAAGCCTTTAGTGGAGTGACCTGCAGTTAACGAATGTTGATTAACTCGGTTAATGAACTGGACCGATTAATATCGTATCGTTGAAGCTTCTGATTTGTAGGTCCATTAGGTCCCCTTGCTAGCTCATAACAGGTAAAATGAGGATCAAGAATTATGAAATAATTTGAAGTGTTCAAATTACTCTTCAAATTATTTAAAGGAATGTATATAATGTATATTCAAACATTGTATATAAACATATAATAATTAGGTCCCTGACTATAGGTTATACAAGAGAGATGAATTTGAATATGATTCAAACGTTAAGTTTTAATTAAATATATGATATTAATTAAAAGTTAAATATTAATCGTTAATTAATTAATTAATTAATA